ACGTTAGGAAACAAAACTTCCAGAACACGGCCACACAGCCCAGAAGACCCACACCAAATAGATTAACTATTTTCTTTTCTAGAAGCATTCAAGAAAACCCACCAGAAATCAAATTTTCTCCTGACTTAAAACAATTCCTAGAATTGGCCTAAATTCTTAATCTTAATAAGATAAGCAATCTCTGAGGTGCTGAAGGATGAAAGGAAAGCAGCCTCCACATTGAAGCATATCGAAGGTTGAAAAACATTCCAGGTTTATTAAAACCCGATTAAAAATAAGCACCATTCCCTAAAAAGCTGACTTGAATTAGGAACCATCTCACAAGCAAGCGTATGTGGACATGTACGGACAATTTATTAGTTGTAATTTTATTGTTTTTCTGCTTTTGATCACTTTAGAATGTGCAGATTAAAATTATTATAAGAAATATTATAAAAGAGGGAGCAGTTCACAATGGTGCAAGTTACGAGAAAGCATAGTCGCAACCCCCCAACCTTACCTAATCAATTTATTAGGTCTCATAAATCTAATTCAAGCCCTCCAGTTTCAAAACACAACGTCTTCCTCCCCCGGCAAAAAATCTCCCTTGAAGCAGAAAGCTAACATCTCAACCTAACCCTCTGCTAACGCTGCCATTCTTCTTCCAAGATGTACTCTCCATATTCGTTTTGAGCAGAAGAGCCATTCACACCCCCAGGAGAAAGGCCGCATCCCAGGGGCCTGGGTCACTTCCTGCCCCTTTCGCGTAGAAAGCTAGCATCTCAGGGTCTTGGCTCCGAGAACACTCCCTCTCCTTGCAAAGTAGGTTGTGCCCGTTTCATTTCCTTTTAGGAAAAACAACCCTCCGGCGCACCCCCCACCGCCCCGAGGTGAACGGAAAGCCCCCTCCCCACCTTAAAAACGGCCGCGCAGGCGCAGCTGCTTCCCAAGTGGATCCCAATCGCCGCCATGCATCCAGACCGCTCGCCTACCCACAATGCACCGGGAGCGCCCCGTCTACTCCTCCTCCTCTGGTGCCCAGGCCCTGCATAGCCAATCGAAATCGAGCTGGGCGTGACGCCACGCCGCCCAGCAACCGGGGTGGGCTTCGCCCGCTCGCCCGGCAGCTGCTAGTTTTCTCTTGCAAGGAGGCGGCGCTGCGTTGCGCTGCCTTGCAAACATGTCGCGGCGAAGGGGGCTTGGCCGGCCGCCGCGCCGTTGCTTTTTAGCAGCCCTGCTGGTGGCGGCGCTCTGCGTAAGCCCTGGGGCTGCCGAAGCCCGGTGCGAAGGTGAGGACGACCCAGGCGTGCGTTGCCCCGCGTGCGGGTGCTGTGCGCAAGATGGCCTCCCTCCTGCTGCTATAATTAGCTGGCCGGGCATGTTGTTAATCAGAGCATGGCATGCTTGCACCCGCCTCCTTGTTTGCTGGGGGTCCAGCGTCCGGCTGGGTGCGCGGCGGTTCCCCTCCCCAGCTGAAGAGAGACGCCGTTTTTGCAAACCGCGTGGCAGTGTGTGTTGTTGGGTTTTTAATTTAACCTGCGTACTCATTCACAGGATAATTCTGTGCCTTCCAGAGATAACTTATTCGCACAGCCTTTCGTTTTTGCACGCTTGCAAGTGCTGATTCACATCATCTTTGCCTCTTGTTGTGGTGCCCAGTGTTTCTCAACCTTGGCCACGTGAAGATATGTGGACTTCTGGCTGGGGAATTCTAGGAGTTCCACTCATCTTGAAGTTGCCAAGGTTGAAAAATTGCTCTGGCTTCTTGCAGTAATGCTGATTTTCACAATAAGGGACTCACCAGGATAGCCCTTAGTGCACTACTTTTTCAAGATTAGTTCAATATTCCTTCCACCAATAACTCACAATCTTGAAGGCACGTTTGTTCATATGCAGCCATTCTTCATCTTGCAAAGCTTATTGTTCACACAACAGTCCTATATTGCAGGCAACATTGCCTTGCACTGATCTTGGGGAAAAATTGACCTTCAGCCAGACTTGATTGCAAATCTGAGCTCTCCTGACCCTCAGCTTCTTATTGTGAAACTGGTGTATTTCAGTGTTTTTCAAACATGGCAACTTTAAGATGTGTAGACTTTCTGAGTTAACAGACATTTTGCATCAGTGTTTCTCAACCTTAGTAATTTTTAAGATGTTGGGATGCTAGCTGGGGAATTCTGGGAGCTGAAGTCCCAACATCTTAAAAGTTGCTAAGGTTGAGAAACACTGCTTTATGTTCTCTTCAAGATCACAGAGGATAGCTGGGATTCCTTGGCATGTCTGAGAATCACTAGTTACTTCTTTCCTAACAGGTTAATACTTGGATGGGAGATCCTTGGAAATCCCTGGAAGTCAGGCTGGAAAGTTGAAAAAGATTTTTGGAAGAAGGCAGTGGCAAGCCAGTTCATATTCCATAATAAAGGTGTTCCACTTAAGGGAGATTTTACATTGACAGAGCATGAATCCAGGCTGAAGTTTATTCCCGTTAATGATTTTAAAGCAGTAGCACTGATAAAATTCTAAAGTGGAATTTTATATTTTAAGTCAATGTTTCTCAACCTTGGCAACTTCCAGAATTCTGGAAGTTGAAGTCCATACATCTTGAAGTTGCCATGGTTGAGAAACACTGTTCTAAGTCAAGATTGGGAGCACCTCAAATTGAGCCAGTAAGAGACTGTCCTTTCTGAGTTGGTGCTCTCTATTAAAGTGTAATGAAAGGATGTTATAGCGCCATGGCCCTAGATTCCCGGTGTAAACAAGGAAGTGCTGGGAACTGAAGCAGGACAAGGCAAGAGTTTGTGCTGATGGAGAACCATCTGCCTCCAATTGTAAGAATTAATCAGTTCTACTTTCCAATAATAAAGATGCCATATCATCACATGGGTGGTGCAGAATTAATCTGGAAGTAGTACTAATGCTGTGCATGGAAGGGCCCATAGAAAAGAAGAGTTTCTTCATCACCAAGAAATTAGAAGAACAACTGCATGTTGGAGGGATTGTGTTCATGCCACAAATGAGAGTACAGGTAGTTGTCTTTAGCAACCACAATTAGGACTTAATGATAATTGGTCATTAAGTGAAGCAGTCGCTAAATGAACAATCACGTGATTGCACCTGTGGTTATCATTTTGCACAGGACAATGCATACTAACTAACTCTAATGGCAAATACATGTCTCGGAATGATGCTGCAAAAGTAAATGTGGGCATTGGTTGCGAAATTACTTTTCCAGCACCATCATAACTGCAAACGATCACTGTCCGAGGCAGTCACTAAGTAAAGACTACCTGTATGTGAAATAAAGGATCTAACTGTATATTACTTATCTACTAGGCTTATATACTGTTCTGCATGATTTTAAGCTTTTGCAGACATACAACCAATGCTAAGTTAAAACAATGTACTAATATCTCCATAACAACAACAGTCCCAACACTAAGGATTAACTTGCAGTTATAAGCATTCACCCACCAGGAGGGATCAAGAGAAATCCAAACCTTCAAACCCCAAAGATCTGCTGTAAAAGTCAGGTCTGCAGTGATGGTCATGTGGTACAAAATGGTGGGCACAACTGGCCAAGCCTTGCCCCTTTTTAACATGGGTTGCACACATCACACGCATATCAGAAGAGGCAGGGTTTCAATTGTTACACTTGCCATTTTGATACCAAAGACCTTTGTTTTGGACACCCTTCTTAACAGCTTTGCAGAAGCCAAAAGAGCTGCAGTTTGTCTGATTTGGGGGAAATGCTGTTCTGAAGGAGGGGACAGCAGTGACCTAAGGTCTCTGCAGATGACATTTCCTAAGGGACGGACTCCAGGAAGAGTCTTCTCTTTCAGATCTTCATGGATGGGCAGAAAAGATTGGAAGTAGGTGGCTTCATCGATTCTCAGGTCCTGAACCCTGAAGGTGATGACCAGCCCCTTAAATTTCGCTTGAAAGCACTGTGGGAACCAGTGTAGCACTCAAAGCAGAGACGATACGCGGGCAAACCAAGTGGTGCCCATAACTGCTTGAGGTACCACATTTGGAACCAGCTGAGGCATACAAGTGGTCTTCATGGGCAATGCCAGATATAGTGCGTTGCAGTAATCCAGATGGGAGGTGAGTAATGCCTGAGTGCAGTGAGGAAGGTCTCCTGATCCAGAAAAGGCTGTAACTGCACAAAGGGTCTCTTCACCATCGTGGCCAGCTGTGTTTTTTAAGCAGGAGCTTAAAGGCGGATTCCCAGGTTTTCAACCAACACTCTATGAGGAACTCTGAATTCCCTACACAACCCTGTGCAGGGTCAAACACGAAATACCTCTGGAATCAGAGGCTCCTTGTACCCACAGCCCTTCCTTGTTAGGACTGAGTTGGAGTCTGTCCTCCCATCCAGACCCTGAGAGTCTCCAGGCCCTGAAGCAGAATCTCATCCACATCTCCTGTTCAGCCTAGAGTCAAAACACACAGTTGAATCTGCAGGCCGTGCTGGGAATGGCATCCATAGTAGCTTTGTGCAGCTGTTAATTCACTGAGGGCATGCCATGGCTGGCTGTTGCTGGAAATCAAATTTGGATCATCTTTAGTTCCCCCAAACGTCTTTGATGGAAGGTTTAGGAAGATGTGAAAAGGCACTTTTTGGTGGGACTTTGTACCGATTTCTTAAATCCATCTATCAATCATGCTATTCTTAAGCATGGTGGGAAAAGAGGGGGAAACTTGTTACAGTTCTGTTTGGACAACAACATAAACCACCAACCAATTAACAAATCACATTTTAATTTTGCATATAATGCAGACTGAGCCCATGTACTTGGTTTATGGTTCAGTATATTGTGCAAATTCAGTAAGTCATAACTCTAGTAACCATGGATAAATGTATTACGCAAACAATCTGCAAAGACTATGGGACTGGGGGAGAGTTATTGTTATTAAAATGTTTCCTTCTAAAGACAAGTTGAATCCAGTGACCTTAATGGCACATCATGCTAAGCCATGGTTTCTAGAATAAGTCGTAGTTACCTGTTCATCACTTTAATTGATAAGCCATGGTTTACAAGCCATAATTGCTGGATTCAGACAATGCATTAAATCCAAAATGTAGGGGGCTTAGTGTAATGTGTGAATTAGTACAATACTAACCCAAGTTGCAAGGAAGGAGGCTCCATTAAGACAGACTATTGAGAAAACCTGCATGGCTATGGATCAAGGAACTATTTTACAAACGCTGAGCGATAATGCACGCTTGCTGCGTGGGGCAGCTCTGCTATTTATAACTACAAGCTCTGCAGTTCCATACAGCAATTGCATGTAGCAATTAACCATTAACAATTAATTAAATACTGTATTGGGAAATGGACATGTGAAACTGTTACGCGCTTAAAACCAGCCTGATTCACCAGGAAGTACCTGCCTGCAGTGCCCAATGCAGAGGGTTTGGGTGATGGAGGCCCCAGTGGGTGGTCCCCTATAAAGCTGAAGAACCCCTACACAATCTTTCCACATGCTTGCTGACACACCTTGTGGAGGATCTGGGAGGGCAGAGTAAGTATAACTTCAAACGGTCATATTCTCCCCTACTATGTGACCCACCCTGCAGCCACTACCACCTGCATGCAATCACAAAAGGAAGGTATGAGGTGCCTGCACCACCAGAAATACCCAACAGAAGCTAGGCAGATCCCACCCTTGTTCCCTTTTTGCCCACCTGTGAGTTTTGTTGTGTTCCTTTTTTGCCCTCCATAATCACAACAAGGCCATCTTCAATTGTGTTCTATATAATATACCTCTGCAATATTCATGCAATTGAGTTCTTAATAAGAGTTTGCAGAACCTGCTCATGCTCTTCAATGTCTGTGACAGCCAAAATCATTTTGGACATGAGATGTTATCACTAGTGGCAGGCAAAAAAGGAACAAGAGTCCTCACCCCTGTTGCATCATCTCTTGTCACCTTTTTGGCCCCTAAGGGCCACCTATCATGCCAATAGCAAAATGGACATAGCTTCAGTCACAGTCAGGGCCACCATCCTGGCTCTTTTGACCATACTCTGTGGACACCCTGGTGTTTT